GTTTTTTTTTTTTTTTTTTTTTAAGACCAAAGGAAAGAACGGAGGAACAAGGACCATTCAAATAATAAAGCATTGCTTAGTGGGAGTTTTTATAAAAGTACAACTTGCCTTACATTAGACTTCAAATTTACAACCTTTCTGCCAAGCTGGCTACAGTCCAGAAGTTTAACACCCTCTGTTGGCGAGGCTGTGGGGAACAGGCATCTCAGGTGTTGCTAGGAAGAGTGAAAAATGGATCAACTCTTTTGGAGAGATTTGATAATAACTAACAAAATTATCAGTGAACGTGCCCTTTGACCCAGACACTGTGCTTCTAAGTTTTCATCCTGCTATCTCTCGTAAAAGTACAAAATATCATGTGTCCCATCCCAGGCCATGTCTTGTGACATTGTAACAGCAGATTAGGAACAACCCGTAAAGTGTTTAGCAGTAGAGATCTTATTCCAAACAACTATGAGACGCCACCCATTAAAGTAATATGTGTCCACAAAACAGAACAAAGATTCCTGCTTTATAGAAAAAATTTCTACAGGGTGGAGACATATAAGATATTCCAAGTCGAGAGAGAGAGAGAGAGAGAGAGAGAGAGAGAGAGAATGGAAGGGTGATTCTCTGTTGGTGGTGATTATCTCTAGAGGGTGGAAAAGAATGAAATGGAGAGACCTATAGAATCCAGACTTTCCACATACCTCTCTATGTGATTTTTTAAAAATCAAATACATATGCTTTATTTTCAAAATAAATAAACAAAGGTAAAACTGAAAAATAAAATCCATGATCTTCATCAGTTTTCCCTATTTTGGCTTAGGGAGCAACAGTCAGATAATTGGGGTTAGGTAGGGGTGGCATGTGGTGGTTGTCAAATCTCAGACCAGATACTTCTTGACTGGACATCAATCCATTCCCCTTTGCTGCTGTTCTTCAGTTCTGTTCTGTGCCTTGTAGCTGAAATGCCAGTGTCACTTTGTCTACCAGTTTTGCTAGCTGCGTTCCTGTCTTATTTCCTGGAGTTGAGTGCTCGCTGTTGAATCCTGCCTGTTACTCCATCCATCTGAGCCCGGGGCTCTTTTCTGCCCCTATGCTAGGTCAGTTTTATCTGTCCACCCTCTGCTGAGAGTGGCATCTGGTCTTTCCACTCTGGGCTCATTGCTGTAGCCTGGTTACCTGTTGACAGCTGTAACTGGTGCTGCCTGCCTGCCTGGATGACCAAATATCAGCTTTCCCCTTGATGAACGCTCCCTCATGCCTACCACTTATGGGAAGTTCTACAGGAACTGCAGACAGCCACCACTAATTGTGCGTTTGCCCCAGGACAGGGGATAGTGCAGCGACTCTACAGGCACCATATCACTTGATCTTCCTGAGGATGGTAGGTGATATCTAGGCAGGAAATATTCCTGCTTCACAGATAAGAACATGGAACAATGTGGAGAAAAATAATTGGGGGAAATTATTATTATGCAATTATCATTATGCAATCAGTAAATGGAGGATCTGGAACTGGAGGTGTTTCAGTCCAAACTGGAGGAAACTCCAGCTGGTTCACATTCCAGGGAAGTCCTGTGGCCATGGCCTTGCGCTGGACCTCCCCCATGGCCTGGGCTGAATTCAGTGTTATGGTTTGGCCCCAACCATGGTTTGGGTTAATTCAGGGTCAGACACTACCAGGCTACCCTACTGTAATTGGCCCTCGCAGGCATACCCAAACCCAGCTTGTGAACCGCATGCTCACTTTGCCGAGTTAGGGACTACCAACAACCTAGAGTGGGAAATGTTAGGCACAAAGAACACGCAGAAGTACATTCACATTTGGTAAGATTGATTGGGTTTTGTCCACCCTCCCTCCCTTCATGCCTCCCTTCCTTGTTTTTCCTTCCTATAAGAAAAGCCAAAAAATAAAAAAATAAGTAAAACCTGGGTAAGGAAGCGCATGCCTGTAATCCCTGCTACTGAGAAGACTGAGGCAGGAGGATCCCAAGTTAGAGGCCAGACTCAGCAACTTAGACCCTGTCTCAAAATAAAATTTTAAAAGGACTAGGTATAGAGCACAGTGGTAGAGCACTTGCCTAATTGTAAGAGATCCTGGTTCCATTCCCAGTATCACAAAGAAGCGAAAGAAGTAAATAAATAAAAATCTAAAGTCTCAGAAATCTATATCATCTAGAAAAGAGATGTTTATAGTCTGTTGAAAGTTCATTATGAGAAACTGTCTTACACATTTTATTATGTTAGCAATCTTTTATTCTATGCAGAATTTTGTTAAAATATAATTTATAGACTTTTTAAAAGAAACAAAGACCATGAGAGAAATATTCAGATAATTCACTGGGTAAAGTTTGCTTTATATTTCTGAGAAATAGCTTCTATTTCCCTTCTACTTTAGAATTGGATTTTTACAGATCCTTGACTCAAAAAAATTTTAGTACACACATTGGCAGATCATTTAGAGGAAAACATTAGTTGAGTCTCAATAATTTAGAAATAATGATCATTCAGATAGGAAAAAGGCTGTGAAAAGGTACTCATTGAAAGAGTAAGAGCATTAAAATCATTAGCAGAGACACCCTCAAATCCCCAACAGCCTCCCTCAGACACATACACATCCTCACCATGAACACATCACACACCCAGAGAGACCCAGAAACAAACATTCACAAACACCATTAGGAAATTGAAAGCACAGGCATCTGAACAGTGATCAGCCCAACTGTTTTAAGAATACTTGAATCAATAGTAATTGGTAAATATAAAGATTACGCATTAGATTTGGGGATAAGGTTTTTTTTTAATGTAGAAGTATAAAACAGCCAATCTGATCTATTTAATTATTATTAGAATTTTCCTAATTGATACCACTTATCATTCCATTTATTGGATTTACCTGAAGAAATGAAAAGCCATTAAAAATATGTAGGTGAATTTAGATTCAGTTGTTACCATTTCATTGTAATGCATTCTGAAGTCAAATCTGAAGTAAGTTTAGAACTTTTTGTTACTTTTCCTCTGCTTAAACATAGATAATAAAAAAGCAAGGGCTGGGGCTATAGCTCAGTGGCAGAGGGCTTGCCTAGCATGTGTGAGGCATTAGGTTCCATCTTTAGCAACACATAATAAAATAAATTAAAATAAAATACAAAACAAAGTTTAAGGCAGGGCACAGTGGCACACGTCTATTATCCCAGCAGCTCAGGAGGCTGAGACAGGAGGATCATGAGTTCACAGCCAGTCTCAGCAACTGCAAGGCTTTAAGCAACTCAGTGAGACCCTGTCTCTAAATAAAATACAAAATAGGGCTGGGGACGTGGCTCAGGTTGAGTGCCCCTGAGTTCAATCCCGGGTACTCCCCCCCCCATTTTTTTTTAAAGCAAAATAATTTCTAAACTATGTGATGACATGATATCCTAATCCAGTTTTTATTAAAGTTTTTTTCGACATTGAAATTATTTTGTTTTTCCAAATAACAAAAATATTACATATTAATTGTATAAAGTTCAAACACTAAAAGGAAGGCTAATAAAAAATCAAAATCACCTGTAGTTACACCAGTGGAGAATATTTATTTTAAAAAATTCTACCACATCTGACTTTAGCAACAAGGGACTAACAGACACACTCTTGTGATAAATATGTATATGTATATGATGGTCACTTACTTGGTTTCTGCTCTCTTTAGCATTCTTCTTTTTTATCCTTCCTGTGCTAGTTGGGGTTTGAACCAAGGGCCTTTCACTTGCTAGGCAAGTGCTCTACCACTGAGGCACATCTCCAGCCATTGTTAATTTGTTTTGAGATAGGGTTTTCCTACTTTGTCTGGCCTGGAGCTTGCAATCCTTCTGATCCTTCTCAATCCTTTGGCCTTGGCCTCCTGAGTCACTGGGATTACAGGCATGTGCCACTGCAAACTGGCTGTATGGTGTTCTTTTTTTTTTTTTTTAATATTTTTATTTTTTTTTTAGTATTCAGCAGATACAACATCTTTGTTTGTATGTGGTGCTGAGGATCGAACCCGGGCCGCACGCATGCCAGGCGAGAGCGCTACCGCTTGAGCCACATCTCCAGCCCCTGTATGGTGTTCTTTATCCTGTTTTCTTTGTATCTTTTCCTATTGTTCTTTCTTTAACTTTCCCATTTGGAAACAGTTATTTTGGCCTTTAAACATTAAGGCTCTAAATTTTTCTCAGAGTACCATTTTCCTACACTCTACAATGTATCTTTTGTATAGTAAGTGAGATGGAAGACAAGAATAATATATGTGTAAAATCAATACTGATAAGATACTAAGAATAAATAGAATTGGCACCCATACATCACATCACACACAAAAGTCAATCCTAGGTGGATTGTGAGTTATATGTGAAATACAAACTCATAAAAATTTTAGAAGCCAATTTGGGAGAATCTTACAACCCCAGAGATATAAACATTTTCTTATACAGGAAATAAATATTAAAATCCACAAAGGAGGGCTGAGGTTGTAGCTCAGTGGTAGAGTGCTTGCCTTGCACATGTGAGGCCTTGGGTTCAATCTTTAGCATCATATATAAATAAATAAATAAAAACAAAGATATTGTATCCATCTACAACTAAAAAATATATTTTTATATATTTATTTTTTAGTTATAGGTGGACACAATATCTTTATTTTATTTGTATGTGATGCTGGGGATCAAACCCAGTGCCTCACACATGGCAGGCGAGCGCCCCAACCCCTAAAAAATATTTTTAAAAAATACACAAAGGAGGGGCTGAGGCTCAGCAGTAGTGTGCTTGTCTGGAATGTGTGAGGCACTGGGTTCAATCCTCAGCACCACATATAAATAAATAATTTTAAAAAAATATATTAAAAAAATACACAAAGGAAAAATGGACAGATTGGGCTATATTAAAAATAACAGCATCCATTTATCAAAAGACACCATGATGAGAGGGAGGTGACTAGTCCCAGACTTGGAGATATTTACTAAATATAAAATCATTAAAAAAATTTTATCTTGAACATGTTAAAAGAATTTATGAATCAATTAGAAAAAGACAAATTGTATTTTTAAAATGCTCAAAAGAAGTATATGATAATTTTATAGAAATGAAAGCAAATGGCCAATAGGTGTACAAAATATCTCTGAATCTCATTAGCAAACAGGAAAATACAAATTCATTTTACAACATACTCACAAAATTGGTGAAAATTGAAGTCTGATACTAACATGCATTAACACGATGAGGGCAAGGCAATCTCTCATATTCTGCTGGTATTCGTATAAATTAGTAGAGTCCCTTTGGAGACCAGCTTTGCTTAATGAAGATGCCTGGACATGGCGATGACCTTGCAATTCCACTCTTAGTTATAAACTCTAGAGAAATTTTCTTGTTGGAGGAGGCACTTATGAAAGTGCTTAGAATATCACTATTCCCACTAGGAAAAAAAAAAAAAAACAGAAGCAAATCAGCATCCACTAACAGAATATAGAAGAGAGAGTTGATGGAATAGTATACAGGAGTGAGGATGAGTAAATTATAGCTGAGTTCAACCATATAAAGAAATCTCTGAAACATAATTTTGAGTGGAAGAAACAAATTGAAGAACAGATCTAGCATTAGGTCAATGATGCATAGTTTAAAAACATACACAACAGTATATTTTCTTTGTGAAACTACAAAAAAGACAAATGCTAAATATCAAGTTTAAGATAATAGTGGAAACAGGTGGGGGGAGTGAGTCACAAGGGGTGTCAAAGTGGGAATGTTGCTCTCTTTGTCCTTTTCCTACGCTCCGTGGTGAGGACACAGGTGTATTATTACACCTTTTTGGAGTTTTTTCCCCATTATCTTTTATATCTTAGATATTTTAAAAATATCTAAGTATTTATTTTACATCTGTCCCATATTTATTTTAAAAAAACAATTTAAAAAATAGAAGGAGTGACACTATTCAAGATTGGAAAAAGTGCATAAATCCTCAGACTGTGGAAGTACACCTAGACCCTTGGGGGTTAGATAAAAACAACTTCAAACCTAAGTCATGTAGAGTGAGACTGCAGAGCACCCAAGACAAGGAGAAGAGAGAGTTTGCCTTCAAAGAAACAACTCCATTTCTCTGTTGCAATGACACATCCCAGAAGTAACTAAACAAAAACAAAACAAAACAAAACAAAAAAAAACACGCAACAGAGTCAGGTCCAACTTTTGTAGGAAGTTAAGCTTTAATAATCGTGGAGACCAGGGCTGGGGTTGTGGCTCAGTGGTTGAGTGCTTGCCTAGCACATGCAAGCCCTGGTTTGATCCTCAGTACCACATAAAAATAAAAAACAAAATAAAGGCATTGTGTCCAACTACAACTAAAGAATAAATATTTTAAAAAAAATAATTGGAGAAACTACTTGAAACGAAAAGTACCAAGTTACTAATAGATAATTAGGTACAAAAGTTTAGGTTTACTCAGCAAGATAATAGAAATCACAACAGATAAAACTTGAAGTTAAATACTACAAAATCCTGAAATGTAATATAATCTTTAATTATTTTCATCATAATTTATATATATCCTCAAATATATTTTGTTCCCTACATTCTTTGGTCACATGTTTGATCTCTTACTGTGATAATGACTTCTGAGTATGGTCTTCTACAAAGAAAGTAGAAAGATCAATCAGTCTTCTAAACATAAATTAGTCTTTTAGCCCAGTTTAATCCGCTTGGTTAAAAAAAAAATTATCAGTCATAATGGAGAAAAGTTTATTTTAGCTTCTCAATTCACTACTGGTCGTGGTGGGAGAGTCCTCCGATAACTCCAGCCCTTTGATCTTACCGTCAGGGCAAGTTGGTCAAGGTTGACTGGATTTCACTGCACCCAACATCCCTCCCACCCCTACCTTGCCAGAGCTGTTCCCAGCAGTAAGGTGTGCCAAGAGCACAGTAGAGCCAAGTCACATGGCCCGTGACTGGGAGTAGAGCCATGCACCAGACGGATTCTTCTCCTCGAGGAAGATGCTGATGTTCCATGGGGTCCCCCAAAGGCAGGTTCTCCATGGGAACTGGTGGTCCTAGAGCTGCAGGGTGTTGGGAGATTGGTACCTGCAAGAAGAGTGACTCTGGCTGGTAGGACTCCACTCCTCTAACTCTCCCGTGACTGTTGCTCCTTCCTAGATCTTGAAAGGATCCACACAAATTACGGTTTCTGAAGCTGCAACATTCATTGTGGCAAGTTGGGCTGGGCCAGGGATGACAGAGGAAAGGCACTAATAAGACAGCAATAATAGAAGAACAATGATTTACCTTAACTTTTCCTCTGCAAGGCAGGGCCATGGAAAAGTGAAGCAGAAGGACTTCCACTGGTTGGCTCTGCCCTGGTCTTCCCTCTCCGTTACCTCTGCCTGTTCCTGGGCTCTTGTCTGACCTGGGTGAGGTGTAAGCAGCAGCTCACTGAGGAGACTTTATCCTTTCCTCGGTGCCACAGCAGGACTAAGTCCATGTAACTCAAGAGCGAAGTATCAGCAAGCCCATCTGTCCACAGATCTAAAAGCTCTTTCTCCAGTCAGACTTATCTGAAATAAAGCCAATATTGTATTTTAATTTTCAATACCTTAGATATTTTCTACTCCTTCCCACATTTCTTTTCCCACATTGATTCTGAATTTTAAAAAGGAAGAGAAATACTAGATATGATATATTCTATAACCCTTATAATAAAGGCTCACTTGGGGACATTTTTAAGAGTAGGAGAAACAAACTCTACAATAAAGCATGGGAGAACAGAGAATAGAATGATTGTTTAATTTTAGTCTTTTTAAATATAAGTGAGGTATATTTGAAACTTGGGAAATCTCCAAAATAAAACTCTTCCAAAATACCCGAAGGACCAAAAAAGGTAACAACTTGAAGTAGATATCAGGGAAAAAACCTCTCCCAAATAATAAGAAAAAAAAGTATGGTAAATAAAAAACAGAAAATAACATGGTAGAAAGAAGTTCAAAATCAACAATTCTAATAAAGGTGAACATTGTATTCACCTGTTACAACATAGAGATTATCTGAATTGAAATACAAATTCTACCTATAGCCCTTAAAATTCCAGGTAAATACTAAGCAAATAAACATGTTAATACAATATTAATTATATTAAATATAATTTAATGCAATAATATTCAGTATATAAAGGGACATTGTTTAATCATAAGAAGAAAAATTAGCAAGAAAACATAACAATCCCAAACTTGCATAACCCAATAACATGGCCTCAAAAATACACAAACAATGATTAAAAAAAGGAATTGTTAAGTACCCAGTCATAGTAGATATTTTTAATACACATTTCTCATAAACTAATATATTAAGCCAATAAATAATTAGGCAATATAAAATGTCTTCAACAACACACTTCAATGGTGCTTTCTAATGAATGTATATGGAATCTTTCCTTGAATAATTAGGAAAAAAATAATTGATTACAATCTAGTCACAATGAGTACATCTACAAATATAAAGCATTCATTATGTACAGTTCATGTTTCACATCACAATGCAATACAGGCAGGAATTTTAAAAATAAAAATATATTTTAGAAATTCTATCACCTCAGAAACTAAAAAACACTTTGTGATAGAGTATATGATAAAAGGACAGCTAGATAAATAAGAGATGATAAGATCACACTATAAAAGCAATTTCATAAACTGCATTTGTCATTTAAAACTATATTGTACATTTCTTTCCATATCAATAACTATAGATCCAGATCATCAATTTAACAAGTGTATGGTATTTCATTGCTCAAATGTACCATAATTTATTTGCTGTTGAACCATTTCAGTCAACACTATGCTATGTGGTGAGACTGCTGGCCATCCTTTTATCCTTTCTTCCCTTATTTCATAGTAATAAGATTTCCAGTTTTGAGCTGGCAGATGCTGTTGGGAATAGGCTTATTTCCCAGATTCCTTTGCAGTTAGTTGTGGCCATGTGATAAATTGAAATGTGGTATGAAACTTTCAGGAATCTTCTTTTTTTTTATTAATCTTTGTTAATAAAAAATTTAATGCAATAATATTCAGATTGAACTCAGTGCTGCCGCAGTCCGGCTGCAGCAAAATAACCGGGGTGGTGGGTGGGGTGGTGGGGGGGGGTGACGAGCAACTTGTGTACATTGATACAGCAGGAGTGGGAGCCGTTTATTGTAGGACAGGAGGGGTATATATACATTCCACACAGCTTATCTAATTAGCATAAACTAAATACAGCAGTCAACCAATAAGGAATCTCCACACTTAAGGGCTCGCTGGCGTTACTTCAGAAACCACTCCCTCTGCAAAATGCCAGGCGCCATCTTAACTTGTTTATAGACCTTAACACAGTGCCTCACATGCTCGAGGCAAGCGCTCTGCCACTGAGCCACAAACCCAGTCCCTCAGGAGACATTCGTAAAGAGAAATGTGCCTTTATTTTCCCCAGTCCCCTTCAGTGATGGATGAGACACTTGGAGATCAAATTAATATCTTGGGCCACAAGGTTGGATCCTTGTGGTGAAGAGATGAGGACCCAAGCCAGAGGCACTGGGTTGTGGTTGACCCAAGAATGCCATGTTTGCCATGGAGTCTTACGTTTATTTACACAGCCATGGAATAGATTTCTACCTCATTTAAGTTATTTGGGATTCTCCTGGATAATGTCTGTTTTCCCAAGTATTTTGCTATAGTGATCACCTGCTGTAAGCACTCTTGCGTGCATATATTTCCCTACTTCTTCAAAAGGAACATAGAAGTGAAAGAATATATTCTTCTAAAGACTTTTGAGATTATTGTCAAATTTCACTTCCTAATATTATACCACTTCACTCTTCCATGAGGAGGGTATAAAATGTTTCCACTTTTCCTTTCCCACTTAACCCTAGATATTATTCTTTCCTGCTTTTGTCACAAAGATATGATTACAGTTTTTTCTTTTTTAAAATATTTTTTAGTTGTTGATGGACCTTTATCTTATTTATTTGTATGTGGTGCTGAGAATTGAACCAAGTGCCTCACGCATACTAGGCAAGTGCGATACCACTCAGCCACAACCCCAGCCCCATGATGGCATTTTTTGATAGCTAGTATGGCTAAACATTTTTTTAAATATGTTTATTTGCTATTTGTGTATTTTTTAAGCTCCTTGCTCATTTTTATATCGTCATTCATTTTTTCTAACTGGTTTTGAAAGACTATGTATTGAGTATTTGACCTTTTGTCTCTTACTATTAAATATTTTCTTCACGCAGTTCATTGTTCATTGCTCTGCTTTATGACATTTTTGTCATTATTATAATTATCAACACATCAATTCTTTTTTTTAATTTATTTTTTTTAGTTGTAGTTGGACACAATACCTTTATTTCACTTATTGATTTTTATGTGGTGCTGAGGATCGAACCCAGGGTCTCGCATATGCAAGGCGAGTGCTCTACCACTGAGCCCAACCCCAGCCCTATTCTTAAAAGTTTTTTAACACATCAATTTTATCTCTGGTGTTTATCTGGTGGTTCATCTGTGGGGTTTCACGCATGCACAAGTAGGGTTTTAATCAAGTTTGCCCTCCCTTTGTTCTTTCCCTCTCATTCCCTTCCCCTTTCTTCTGACCCCTCTAACCCCTAGTAGTCCCTCTTCTACTTACAGGGTTTTGTGTGTGTGTATGTGTGTGTGTGGGGGGGGGGATTGTTTTTTCTACATATGAAAAACCATGTGACACTTGTCTTTTTGTGTCTAATTTATTTTGGTTAACATAATGTCTTCCAGTTCCATCCATTTTCCTGTAAATACTGGATTTCATTCTTCTTTATCCATTCATCTGCTGATGGGCACCTAGACTGATTCTGTGTCTCAGCTATTATGAATAATGCTTCATTAAACACAGGTATGAAGGTGTCTCTTTTGTATACTGACTTCATTTCCTTCAGATATATACCTAGGAGTAGTAAAGTGGGTTACACTGTATTTCTGTTTTTAGTTTTCTGAGGACCCTCTGTACTGTTTTCCACAATGCTGTAGTGATTTACATTTATATCAACACTGTATGTAAGGGTTCTTTTTCTCTAAACCTTCATCAGCCCTTGTCATTATTATTAGTTTATCAGCTTTTGTGACTGAGGTGAAATCAAATCTCAATTTACTTTTGATCGCATTTCCCTGATGGCTAAAGATATCAACCATTTTTCCACATGTTTATTGGCCATTTGTTCTTCCTCTTTTATGAAGTCTATTCAGATCATTTGCCCATTTATTAATTGAATTATTTAATTTTTTGTTATTATTAAGTTTTTTCCTTATATATTATGAATATTAATCCTTTTCTAGATGCTTGGCTGGCAAGGATTTTCTCCCACTCTATGAGCTGTCTCTTCACTCTGTTGATAGTTTCCTTTGCTGTGCAAAAGATTTTTTTTCTTTTGTGATACTTAGAATTGAACCCAGGCTTCATACATGTAGACAAGTGCTGTACCACTGATCTACACCTCAGCCTTTATTTATCTATAGTTTGAGACACAGTCTTGTCCAAAGCTGGCCTGAACTTGGGATCACCTTGTCTCAGTCTCATGAGTATCTGGGATTATGGGTATGGGCCACCATGCCCAGCATATGCAGACACTTTTTAGTTTGATGTAAACCCATTTGTTAATTGTTGTTTTTGTTTCTTGGACTATTGGAGACCTATCCAGGAAATTATTGCCTGGGCCAATATCTTGGAGCATTTTATTCCAATATTTTCAAGTCTTACTTTAATATCTTTGATACATTTTGAATTGATTTTTGCATAGGATGAGAGGTAGGGGTCTAGGTTCAATCTCCTATGTGTGACTATCCAGTTTTCCCAGCCCCATTCAGTACGATGTTGGCTATGGATTTCTTATAGCTTTTATCATGTTGAGGCATGATCCTTCTATACCTAATTTTTTCAGGGCTCTTATCATGAAGGGATATTGAGTTTTATCAAAAGCTTTTAGCATCTGTTGAGGTGATCCTGTCATTTTTATCCTCGAGTCTATTTATGTGCTGAATTATGTTTATTGATTTGCATATGTTGAACTGTCCTTTCATTGATGGAATAAAACAAGTTTGATAATGGTATATGATCTTTTTAACATGCTGTTGAATTTAATTTGCAAGTATTTTACTGGTGGTTTTTGCATTATATTCATCACAGAGTCTCTCTTTGTTCTTGTTGTGTCTGTGTCAGGTACTGGTAGCACGATGACGTTGGCTTTGCAGAATAAGTTTGGGAAGGTTCCTTCCTTTTCCATTTGATGGAACGGACGGAGAAGCATCAGTATGAGTTCTTCTTTAAAAGCCTGGTAAAATTCTGCAGTGAATCCAGGTTTTTGTTTTTTGTTTTTTTGGTTAGGAGGCTTTCTGTTATTGCTCAAACTAAATTGAGATTTGATCTCACCTCAGTCACAAAAGCTGATAAATTAATAACAGTTTCACTACTTGTTATTGATCTTTTTTGGTTTTTCATATCCTCTTGGTTCGATTGTGTTAGATCATAGATCATATGTTCCAGAAATTTGGGCCTTTCT